AAAAAAAAAGACATGTAATGCTGTTGATGCTGATATCAATGACAGGGATTACACTAAGGCTCCAGAATATGTGTCATACAAAGGATAAAACTATCAGTATACAAGTAATATATGCTGCCGTTATTTGTACTCAATCCGATCAGAAGCACTAAAGTAAGTGTGGATTAATTTGCCAAAGTTTCAGCCTTGTATTTTTCTTAGTTCCTGAGATGAAAACTTGGGACAGGCACATACACAGGCACACACATAGACAACCTTTCGACGATATGCGTTTTTGCATTGCACTGCTACAAAAAACGCATAAAAATTAGTTTGGTATCCAGTATTTTGTACGTTATTTTTACATTTTTTTAAAGTCAAGCATATCAAAATAGCGAAGTTTATTTTGATGATAATAATAACAATGATGATGATGATAAATTAAGTGATGTTTACATAATAAAGGAAGGGCTCCAGATTGTGACAAGAGCCGGTCAAACTCTGCTCAGCTTGAGAACAGTAGTGCGAAAGTTTCTAGCAATAATAATGATTACAAGTATTCGTACCGTCTTATCCTGACGCTGTTGATCATGCTAGTTTCAGTGTTAAGTGAAATTAGCTTCAGGATTTTAAAACCAGAAAGGGTTTTTCCCACTTCTGTCCTCAGTTTTCGCTTATTATTTAAAACTCGAAAAGGTAAAGTTATGTTTTTTTGGCGGAGGCGATGCGCATGGACCTGGTTAAGTTAGCCGAGTCTCTCCGAATGAAAATTGAGGTCGCCTGACTTCCCTTAGCCTCCCTGTAAGTTGCTTTGCGAAGCAGCAAAAACAAAACTCTCTAAATTTTTTTATTTGTTATAAGGTATCATACATCACAGCCGTTGTACTGTCGGGATCCAGCTGTAGCGCTGAGCCGAGACGTTGACAGTTTAATGGATTGAACGTTTAATTCCAACATATACTTCAGATTAGTACGCCCTAATTTATCTTGATGTTACTTGACATTAGTTTGTGAAGTGGTGTTAATTAAGCTGCTTTAAGATAAAAGAATGCTCATTATCAGATGCCAAATAAAGTTCAGTTATAAATCCCCTCAGAAAAAAACACTGACCGGATTGATGACACCATTTTCGCAACTGTGTTCGATGACTAAGTATGGCTCAATTGCCGTAACTTCCTTATCCTGGCCGTATATTTTGAAATTACCTTTTTCATCTGATCTGGTCGTATTTAGCAAATCATCCGGATCGCCTGAAAATTTAAGTGTTATTTTTTTCGCAGGCAGTGATAAAGATTCTTTGGGTCTCGACGCGAAGCTCTAATCAAGCAGCATCTCGGAGGCAATTACGCTAGATCACAGTCAAAATCAAAATTCAAAACCTCTCTAGTATTTACTCTTTATGAAAGGTGGAGGCACTCGAAACCTTTCCGGGATTGGTCAGTACGAAGAATAATAAATCGCAGGCAAGGCTTTCAACGGCTTTTTTCTTCAGGGGTTGCTTGCAAGTAGTGAGTTAATGACGAAACAAGTCGTGGTACCATAAGCTTTATTCTCTAGCTGTCTTAGGCCACATATCATCATTCTCTTAATCTAATTGCTAAAAAAGGTCTTACTGGCTTAAACTATGCCCTTTTACTTACTTCGACCCTACTGCATAAGGTAGTTCTAGCTTGATAGGGCCAAGGCATTGAATCAAGCCGCTGCACGTACCGATGAACAGATCGTCGTGCATTCGCGTGTTCTTCTGTTTTTATTTCAAATCCAAATTCAATATCAGCAAAGCGCTTATAATTACTAGTATTATCGGAATCCAGTGCCATTTAATATGGAAAACCATAGTTTCTCCGAAATTACCGGTGCAGCTGTACAAGACTGATCTAACCTGGCTAATTTTTTTTAAATGACTGGTTTACTACGTAAATAACACATTTTTGGCATGGTCAGCATACTACAAAATGATACAGCCGAAGAACTCAAAAGTCAAGAAATCCATTACCAGTGTCCTCTTCCCAAAGTTTTATTTCAACATCACGCACGGATTTCGTACCACAGGCAAGTCTACCCGTTGCAGTAACACCCTGCACGCTGCCAATAATACCCGCATCGGCATAAAATGCAACGATACCGAGTAGTGCGAGTATCCGCAAATACGACATCCTGAAAAATGCAAAATTCCACCCACAGCGACTGGAAAGCAAAATTAAACAGAAAAAAGAGTTGTTGCAAAGATGGGGAGTAAGGGAACGGTGAATCGCGGAAGATTGCTTTGAAACTGCAAACCGTAAAGAGAATTTATCCAAGTTTTTTTTA